GTAATTTAAAGGTTTTTAAAATTACTAGTTTAAAAGCTATTTATAGTTTTATAAACTTTTATAATAAAAGGATTTTTTATAGCTTTTTTACCTATAACCTTTTAAAGTACTAAACTTTTTTTTTAATAACTTTAATATTATAATTATAATCTTTTTTTAAAAAGTGCTTAATTAAAATTATTATATTATTAAAATTATTTTTAACTTTATATATTTAGCAAGGGCAGGTAATTAGCCTTTAAAAGGGTTTTTTATACTTTTAATTTTTAGATTTAGTAACTAGTATATAGGCTTAATTAAGGAAAAAATAATATTTATAATAAAATAAAACCTAATTAATTATTTTATTTATATAAAATTTTTAATTTTTATTATATAGGTTATTAACCCAGGGAAATAAAAGGTTAAATTTTTTTTTATAATAATAAACCTATTTTATTTAATATTAAAAAAATAATTATAAAAGTCCGCAAGGTTTAAAAAAAGGTTAAGTAGTTTAAATAAAAATATTTTAAATAATAAATAAAGCATAAAAAAAGTTTTAAATAACTTTAATTTTTTAAATAAATAGTGGTTTTTTTTTTCGCGTGCCGCGTTTTAAAAGGCTTAAAATTATATAATACTTATTATATAAAATAAAACCTTATTTTATAAATATATTTTTTAAGTAAACCTTACATGTTACTTTATTTATAATTAAGCTTTTAACTTTATAAGCTTGTAGTATTATAAAAATATAATAAAAATTAAAATAAAATAAAAATATTAAAAAAGTAAAGTTAGTTTACTTTATATAAGTTTTTTTAATATTTAAATTTATAAAGTTCTGGAGTTATTTATTATTTTAGTAAATAATTAATATTTAATAATAAAATATATATTTAAATATAATAATAGTTAACTTTAAAACTTTTTTAATAAATTTACTTAAGTTTAAATTTTGCCAAAGTGGCCTAAAATACTTTTTTTTTATTAGTTATAACTTATTAACCACACCCTTAAGGTTATTAATATTATATAATTTTTTTTTAAAATATTATTTAATATTTAGGTATATTAATTTATATAATATTTATTATATAAAGTAATATACCTATATATTTAACTAAGTTTATTATAGGTTATTATAGCTAGTTTACTATAAAGTTTAACTATATAACCTTATAATAAGGTTATTTAAGTTTATATATTATTTTTTATATAAATGTAAATAGTAAAGTAACTAAAAAATGGTGGGTCCGGGAGCGGTGGACCTGTCGCCAGAATACGCCCTCCCGTAGCAGTCGGGGCCGCCAATGGAGACAGATGTGGCTCGGTGGACGGGCTGTAACCACCTGCGCCACCACTGACATCCTGCATACTCAGCGAACAGCCTAGGGAGTTACGTGGATTCACTCCATCAGGGCTGCAGGAGGCTTGTGAACGCTTTCATCATCCTCATGCCAAATATAGAACTTGCGTCATTGCTGACCCAGCCCGATGGCGTGGAGACCCGACTCCAGCATTGTTCGAGACCGAGCAGAGATACACGGGTCGGCCAGTGCGGGATAGCCCGTAGACTGTAGCAGGGGCTTGCGTCGCTCGGCAAGCCGAAGGATCAATCCAGCCTGGTGGCTTTGCAGTCTCGGGAGTCGGCTTTGGACCGTGGTTCGACTCAAGGAAGTATGAACCTTCTCGGCATCGCCGAGGAAAACAGCGTAAACATGACAACAGTTCGAGTATGGCTTAGATAATGATCGCGGAGCAGAGGAGAGATCGGTGTAAGGCACATGAAGGTGTATCCAGCTCTCAGAGAATCGAAGACAGTTGAAATCCCAAGTCAATCTCAGGGGACGAACAATAGTGCCCTGCCAATCCGACATACAGAGCGTCCCTTTAATCAGAGGGCGGTCATAAGCACCTTCATCCACCCGGCATTATCCCGTTTCTTCCTCATCCCACTCCTCCGCAGTCTCTATTCATCATGATCACATCCCGGTGTCGTGGATTGGGGATACGTGGCAACAGGGGTTGAACATCGTAGGCTGGGCTTAGAGTCATTGATCCAGCGAAGAAGATCCTGGGATTGGGCTAGGCCGATATATATCTTTTCTACAGGCGATGTTTTGGGAGTCCGGCCTCAGAGAGAGGCTAGGCATGAACTTATAATACATGATAAACTCGTGTTGATTATATGGTATCCGCTATTATACAGAGATGCCAGTCCTCTCAGCGTCATAAGTGGCCGTAATGCATTATCCAATTCCAAACAACCTCTCGAAGATGTCATGGCCAGCATGACTTCAAGCCCACTACGACCTCCGCCTGTCCCCAACCATGTACTGCTCCGGCATCTGAATGACCAGCCCATTCCGCGACTGGGGGAGGTCAGGCAGCGGCACAAATGAGTTTCTTTCCCTCCTCGTGCTCGGCCGGACCCGTCCGCTACTGTCGACACTCAGGTTGAACGACTTGTCGTGTCGCTTCCTTGAGCTGCCGTCCGTCGCGCCCTGCGTTGTATTGTACTCGTAGTCGTAGTCGAATGAGTCGTTATCGCTGCCACAGCCCGGTATGAAGGCCTTTAGGAAGGCTCGCATTCCCGGGAAACAAGCGCAGGTGATGCCGAGATCGATCTCAAGGACGCTCCAGACGCAGACGGGGACGAAGTCTCCTAAGTTGGAAATGATTGTTAGAGCCGTTTCAAATTGATGCAACGCTTGCTTACTGGTTGGATTCATCGACTTGAGGAAGTCGAATGTCGTCGTTAACCGGACAATGCTCAGGGCAGTTACGCTGCAACAATTAGCAAAGGCATAAACAGGAGTTGAGAATACTCACACAAGCCCAATGAGGAACATCAAACAGACACCAGTCTTTTTTGTTTTCGACATGTTCAACTTCAGCAGGACAGGCAGGGGCATGCAGATGACAATCACGTCAAAGACAATGTTGAGGATGGCGTGGGAGATTTGCATGGCGGATTGGTTCAGGCATTTCCCTTGATGCTCACCATCCCACTTCAACCACCCGTAGCTGCGAGGACTACAGACGAAGATTATCGCAATGGTATATGCGATGCCCCACATGCTGACAACGGCTATCATGGTAAATGATGCGATGCGCAGTTTCTGGTGTGGGAAGATCCGTAGGTAGAGGAGTAGCATCGAGATCTTGATCAGCGACATGACTGGCGGGTATAGGGTCGTCGTTACTACAAAGAGCTGATTCCGCCACTAGTCAGCAACAAATTGGCGTGTACAACGGAGAAGACTCACGTAGAGGACGTGGTTTATGTCCGGAGGCGGGATGTTCCATATGTCCTTGCCAACACCGAACCTTTGGGCTACACCATGTAAGTGCAAAGCTCGGGGAAGGAAGAAACATGAGCTTACCGCGAAAGACAAGGGCGGCAATAGCAATGGCAAGGCCCTACATCGATTAGCGTGTTTCCAGGTTGTTGGCCCGAAGTGACTTACTACGCTAAGAGTGATGGCGAGGTCATCCATGCCATAATTGCGATTGAGCACCCGAGCGGCAGTTCTCATCAGGGCGCAGATGATCATGATCACCAGAAAAGTGATGCTCACTATGAAGAGCGCCTCGGTCGGGGCTTTTGGTGGGACACCACAGACGGATTCGGAGAATCTCTTCACAGCTTTTCTACGGTCAATCGTTGTAACGACACGACGGGCGCTGATGGGATTCAGTACCAAAGATCTCCGTAACAGAGCAGGCCTTCAGGACACACGATTCCATCGCCTTGGCCAGCGTCTTGTCATGGCAGAAACAATCGATGTCCGTCAGCCCGCATGATGCCTTGGATGCAGACTCGGTGATGCATTTTAACTGCCGCGGTTAGCAGGATAGCGAAGAGGGAGCAGGCGACATACGGCGCACTCGGGAATGGTTTCGATGGGCGGCAGGCTGTCGAGGAGACCCATGGTTGCCGCATGGAGCGCATCCGGGGTTGAGCTGGACGGGCCTTCCAGCTCTTTAAATCGGCACGCGTCCCAGCACGGGCGTTGATCTCTTTAAAGAGCAGCTCCAGTGCCGGCAGAAAGGAGCGGATCGTCGCCATGAGGTCTGGCCAGGGCAGGTGGAGTCTCTGCTAACCAACTCTATTTAATGGAGATCTCCGAGCCTCCGACGCAAAAGGGTTCCTCAAGAGCCCCGTGAATCATGTGTGCCATGTGCTTGCTTGGCTTTGCGGTGCATTGCTTGCTAAGGGGCAGTTCAGGGTCGTGTTGTTCGACGAAACAATGGGCATGTTTGGGCCAACGGCGGATCTGATCGCAGCAACCGGCCTACAGGGAAGGTGGCGTCCGATTCGATGAAACTCAAATTGCATTCTGAAACCGTTGTCCGACTGGGCCGTATCTCGTAAGGGTGCATGATTCGTGTGTTGGGCTCTGGCCCTGCAGGGCCTGTCGATCGTCGCGGAGGTTGTCCAACCCTGGTTGGCAAAGTTTGGATGCGCTTTATGGACTGCTTCAATGCAACAGGACATTACTAATGTAGTAATGACCATCGTACTCATACTAAGTCGGCGTTCAGCCCAAAATTGGCTGCTCGGGGCTCATCAAGCGAACCATGGAAGAGCTGCGGGTCTGCTCCGTGACGATTCAGATCGTGGGTTGTCGTGTTTGGTGTAGAGCGATCTGTGCCGTGCCTTATATTATTCATCTCACTTCCTGCTGAATTATGCCGTCATTGTTGAGTCCTCTCGATCGACATCCTATCGCTCGAAGGCGCTCGACGGGAGAGCCGCTTTGACGCTCATCATCAGGTCTGCTTTTTATCCGCAGTCGAGATAAATGCTCAAGGCAAGCTCATGAGTTCGTAGTAGCGTCCGCGGGACTTGACTGCCCGTTCTGCGTATCTTGCTGCGCACCTGCCTCAAGGCCAGGTGCAGGCTCGAGGGCTCTTTCTCTTTTCAGACTGCACTGCACACTGTTTACACAGCCGCCTCAGACGCCGTCTCCCACTATGCAATCTTTGCAGACTGTGCGATCGCTGCGGCCATGGCGTCCTCCTCGCAAGACCCGCAAGGCACCAGCGAGCCTCCCAAAAATCGATACCGGAGTTTTGCGGGCATACGCGAACACAACAATGTCACTTTCCACATCGCTGGATGCGCCTACTTCTGGGCCATCTCGGAAGCACTGGAGAGAGCCAGAGAGTCGGTCTGGATCATGGGATGTGAGTGCTCTCCCATCTCTGCAGTCCCAAAGCTTCCGCTGACGGTTCAGGGTGGGTATCGCCAGAAGTCTACCTCCGACGACCTCCTTCGAGAAACGAAGGCTACCGGCTCGATCGGATGCTGAAAGCGGCGGCCCTTCGCGGCGTGAAGGTCAATGTGGTCGTCTACAAGGACATTCCTGGAGCCATGTGCTGTGCGCTCCCTGATCCCCGAGGAATCACAGTGTCTTACAGATGCGATAGTGAACTCGCAACATACAGAGGACGTCCTGCACAACCTCGACCCGAACATCTCCGTTCTCCGCTATCCCGATCACAACCCCATGCGTGGTTACCCTCCGTCGCACCCGAGTAATCAGAAACATGCCGCGCGAGGAGATGTTGGGCTTCGCAAACTGTCCGACTCGAGACTCGAGCGATTCTTTGATCATGAGGGTTACCCGGGGCTGGCCTGGGCTCATCACGAGAAGCTGGTCATTGTCGACCAACAGCTTGCATTCATCGGTGGCCTCGATCTTTCCTTTGGACGATGGGACCCCGTTCAACATCCAATCGCCGACTCTCATCCATGCAAGGTCCACCCCACTGTCTTCCCCGGCCAGGACTACAACAACGCCCGAGTTGCGAACTACACGGACCTCGAACACTGGGAGAAGAACAACCTAGACCGGTCAGTTACGCCACGCATGGGCTGGGAGGATATCTCGGTCAGCCTGACCGGGCCTGTCGTCGTCGATCTCTGTCATCATTTTGTTGACCGATGGAATTTCGTCTGCAAAAGAAAGTATTTCTCGTCGACGTCAAGGAAGCCTCTCCCGCCGCCAAAGCCATTCCTGCCGGATCCCTATGCCGACATTGGGACAATGGACTGTCAGATCGTGCGAAGCGCTACCGGGTGGAGCCATGGCATCCTCACGGAGTACAGTCTCTGTAATGCCTATCTCGATATCATTGCCAAGAGCGAGCACTTTGTCTACCTCGAGCAGCAGTTCTTCATCACCTGCGCTGGAGGCGAAGACGAGACTGTCTGGAATAAGGTCGGTGAAGCCTTCGTATCGCGCATTCTGCGGGCTGCGCGCGAGAAGAAGCGATACAAGGTCATTGTGGTCTTGCCTGCATTGCCTGCTTTTCCAGGAGACATCAACGCGCCTTTCAAAGGCAATATACCGCGCGCGCTCATGAAGCTGCAATTCAATTCCATCAACCGTGGTGGCTCGAGCGTCTTTGACAGACTCAAGCAAGCCGGTCTCAATCCCGACGACTACATCCGCTTCTTCAACTTGAGGAGCTACGACCGCCTCAAGCCCCAGTGCCTGGCTGAAGATTTCCTCAACCCGTTCGGACTCCACGTCAATAGCGAGGCTGGAGCGCCAAAGGCACCAGATGTCGCAGCCGGAACTCAACCACCTTCTGAAGCCCAATGTACGTCCGACTATAACTGGGATACCGTCAGTTCCTGTTGCATGCTGCACGGGCCAGACATTAGAACGGCTCCTTGGCCATATAACGCCGCTTTATCGGAAGTAGACGCCTTCGTCCAAGAGGAAGTATATGTCCACAGCAAGCTATTAATCGCGGACGACAAGGTAGTTCTCTGCGGCTCCGCGAATCTGAATGACCGGTCACTCAAGGGAGGCCGGGACTCTGAGATTGCGGTCGTCGTCGAGGATACACATGAGCTGGCTTCGACTATGCATGGTCAGGACTTCCAGGCGAACTGGTTCGCTGCCATTTTCCGCCGATACCTCTGTCGAAAGCACCTGGGTCTTCTGCCGCCGCAAGACATGCGCATTCCGGGCGACTACTTCATTCCTGCGCCCGCTTTCAGTGCGTATGACTTTGGCTCTCAGGAAGATCTTCTTGTACGGGATCCGTTGAGCGATGATTTTCTCAATTACTGGGACCAGGTCGCGCGGCGGAACACATTGGCGTTCCGCAAGGTTTTTAACTCCCTTCCAGATAACGGTGTGAAGGACTGGAACGATCTTCGCTCGGCAGCCTTGAAGACTACCCCCGGACATGTTTGCAAAGCCAACTTCTCCACCGGCGAGCAGGCGATACATGAGATCAAGGAAGAGCTCTCGGCGATCAAGGGGACTTTGGTTGAGATGCCGTTGGAATTTCTGGCCAATTGTGATATTCAGCCAGAGGGCGCGGCATACAATATGTTCACCAGGCCGGGGTTGACCTAGGCTGCGGGACAGTGGTAGGAGGCATGGATTGAAGTCATTATTTTTAACTGAGTTGCAACCAGGACTTGAGGCGTTGCTGACGGGGTTGTTTTAGGGGCTTTCTCCTTCAATTGGGCTACCACGCTGGCCTTGATGCATGTTATCGTAGTAGTGATTGAGTCGTTCCGGCACTGAGGATCCTTGCGTTTGCATTCGCGGGCTCCATCGGGGATGATTGCGAAACCTTCTTGTCATCCCATAGCTTCTCTTGTTAGGCCCTTTATCTCTATTGGGAAGTCAATGCCTTTGCATATCTAATCCGACGGCCTCTTCGTTCTAGTAGCAAGGACCGGCCAGTCATGAAGCTGTCCAGGTCGCATCTTGGTCATCCGTTTCCACACCGATTGCAGATCACAGCCAAAGAAAGCAATGTGTGTATATCGGCATCGAACCATGGTCGAGTGCAGCTGACGAACGAGTGGCTTGGCTGAACCAGCCAGCCACAACATGTAGGCCAGGTTGCAGTGTACTTCTCCGTGACGTCTCAGAACGAATTGGTGATATAATAGAACCCTATTATGCATGGGTGCTTACCCTCGCATCGACCACAACAAGAGAATACAGTCAATGGAACGCTGTGTCACCAGAAGTAATGAATCATTGAACATTGCAATCTTGGTTCGGGCTTGTATAGGACCGTCCTCGAGATGGAGGGCTGAGATTTGCACGGTGTAGCTGAGAACGCTTTGCATGTCGCTGCTTCCAGCCAGCCACCAACTCCTGGTTCTGTCGTCACCTGGGTCGACTTTGCTGCAAGCAGTCACGGTGAACCTCATCCCTCTCTGAGCCATCCTCGACTATAAATATCAGTATCTTCTCGCTGTCAGGAGATCTTTCCTCATCAATTTAATTCCAGAAACAGCGGTCTTACTTACCAAAGAATAAACGATACTAGTTCCTGATCAATAGCGACCATGTCCGACTGCCACGGTACGTTCGGACAGGCCTTCATATATGCAGTGCTAACTCGTCCAGACCATCATCACGCCCATGGCGCCATCGGCCAAGCCGAGGGTGGTATAGGCCACATCACCCGGTACTCGGACGGACGGCCCACGCGATTTTCCTTCGAGCGGCGCTTCAACCGGGTGCCGCATGTCCAGATCACACCGGATTTCGGCGCTGACCCGCACACGGATTTCAAGAACTTTTGGATATACTTCCTCAGCAATGGCGGGCCGGCTGTGGATAGGGAGGGGTTCAGTCTGGGGGTCTTCACTGATGTTGGGCACTCGGTGACCTTTAGGTGGACGGCGATGGAGATTACGGGCCGTGACTAGGATCCTTGTACAGGGTGAAGATGAGGGTATGGGAACTTCAAGGCGAATGATGGAACATAGTATTTTTGATCCCGGCAGTATAGGTGGTTAGGATGATGCAGGCTTGCTTTGGTGATAACCAGATTTGCGATGACAGCGTCTTCCATCCTTGCCGAGTACTAGAGCTTCACTTGAGTAGCACTGACAATCGTTCGATATGCTCTATGTCGCCTCAAGGTCAAATCTGCAACGCCAATGCGGGACAATCCGGGGTTCCCGCAGTTCGTATGGGCCTATTGTCATCGGAAAGACGCATTCTTGCCGAAGATTAAGCGAAGAAGCGCAGAGTAAGCCGGGGCAAAACGCACAGCCGTCGCCGGATTTAGCTTCAGGCGTTGCAGCAACCTCAACCTATCACACTACATCCTCGTCACTTATCGCCGGGGCCGTATCTCCTCTTTTGCTGAAAAAGGCAAGGGTCCATGAAGAGCAAGAGGCATCCGGAGAGATGATGACGTACAGAGTAGACACCGGAAACTGGAATCCGTCGATGCAGACGCTTTGGGAATGATCTGCTGCGGCGCTACCCGATCATACCCCATGGGGTGTCCCCGCTATCTCACTCCGTTACCCGGATAGTGGAGTTGTTGAGTGACTTGATGAAGTGTACATGATGCGAGCTGTTGCCCTTGAAGAGGGCCGGATGCCGGCTCATCGAGTCGAGATGCCCTTTCCACCGGAACTGGCGGTGAAACGCAGTGTTGATTCTCGAATCCGGTCGAAACTGCCGGAGCTCGAAGAGAAACGCACTATCCCAGACTCAACTAGCGCAGAGTTTGTGAGCGCCTTGACTTTGTTGTCCAATAAGTGTTGCCGTAAACCTTGGAGACATGCTCTTTGCCCTCCTATTGGACATGTGCCCCCCTTGTCACCCCAGATCGTCACCCCGGCCTCTGGATTCTCTCCGATTCCATGCAACGACCGCATGTCAAGACCTTGGAAGGCTTGGGTCGGCCTTTGACCGGTCGTGTGCCTGCTGGAAAGCAAGGAGTTGCCGTAATATCCTCGGTCTTGGCCCGGCCATAAATTCGTCCTTCGTCCCTTCCTTTCCGGTGTTTTGCTCTACATACAGGCTACAGATCTGGTTCAATAATCTATCATATACTAAGAAGCATCATGGCGGATAAGGTCGAAGCTGAAAGCGCCTCAATACAGCCTCAATCCTCTGTCCGAGACAGCCAATCCTCCATCAAAGGAGACGTCCAACATGCCGAACTATCCCGACAAGTAGAACCGTACGGCCCGCCCGGTCTTCGGGGTGTCATTGCAAACCCTTTCGTGCTGCTCTGCGCGGCATGCTCAACGCTTGGAGGGTTGACTTTCGGCTATGATCAGGGCGTCATCTCCGTTACGCTGGTCATGCAGCAGTTCCTCGATCGGTTCGTCGAGGTTGCCGATGGCCATCCGGGTTCAGGATTCTGGAAAGGCCTCATGACTGCTATGCTTGAGTTGGGTGCGTTTGTCGGTGCTCTCAACCAGGGATGGCTTGCCGATAAGATCTCCCGACGGTACTCTATCGTCGTGGCAGTCGCCATTTTCATCGTCGGTTCGGTCCTGCAAACTGCCGCTGTGGATTATGCCATGCTTACCGTCGGTCGGACCATTGGAGGTATCGGCATCGGTATGCTGTCGATGGTGAGTTCCCCATCAACTCCACTGGATACTTGGAAATATCACCCCTCAGTGCGAGGATCTAACCAGCAAATCAGGTTGCCCCGCTTTATATTAGTGAGGTATCACCACCGGAATGTCGAGGTGCATTGCTTGTCCTTGAAGAATTCTGCATAGTCCTTGGGATCGTGATTGCGTACTGGATAACATACGGTACACGGTTCATGGATGGTGAGTGGTCATGGAGGCTTCCATTTCTGTTGCAAATGGTGCCGAGTTTCGTCTTACTGGGAGGAGTAATCGTGCTTCCATTCTCTCCTCGGTGGCTTGCCTCCAAGGGACGCAACGACGAAGCTTTGCAAAGTTTGAGCAGGTTGCGACGACTGCCTACGACCGACCACCGTGTCCAACAGGAGATGCTCGACATCAAGATTGAAGTCCGCTTTCATCAGGAATTAAACGCGGAAAAGCACCCATCCATTCAAGGGCCGGGTGCTAAGAAGGGTTTGCTTCGCGAGTTGGCCGGCTGGGCGGACTGCTTCAGGAGCGGATGCTGGCGGAGGACGCAGGTTGCGGTTCTGGTCATGTTCTTCCAGCAATTCGTCGGTATCAACGCCCTGATCTACTACTCTCCCACGCTCTTCGAAACCATGGGCCTCGAATACGACATGCAGCTCCTCATGTCCGGTATCATCAACGTCACACAACTCGTCGGTGTCTGCGCCAGTTTCTGGATGATGGACGGCTTCGGCCGTCGTCCTCTTTTGCTCTGGGGCGCCGCCATTATGGGTATCTCGCATATTATCATCGCCGCTCTCGTGGGTATTTACTCGGACAACTGGCCCGCGCATCGAACCCAAGGTTGGACGAGTGTCGCTTTCCTGTTCTTGTATATGCTCGCGTTCGGTGGGACTTGGGGATCGGTTGGTTGGGCGCTGCCGGCTGGTAAGGCTTCCTTCCTTAAGAGCTTTTTGGACCGTCGTAACATATCGCAGAGGTGTTCTCGTCTTTCCTTCGTGCGAAGGGTGTCGCTCTCTCAACCTGCGGCAGCTGGCTTTTCAACTTTATCATCGTGAGTAACCTTTTTCTGGCACAACCGATGGCGTACTAACCGCAGCAGGGCCTCATCACTCCACCTCTGATCCAAGACACCGGGTACGGCGCTTATGTTTTCTTCGCCGTATTTTGTATCCTCGCCTTCATTTGGGCGTTCTTCTGCGTCCCGGAGACTAGTGGTCGGAGCCTGGAACAGATGGACGCGGTCTTCAAAGATAACTCGAGTAGTGCGGAGCGCGCGCGGAGGCAGGCGATCGAGAATGAGCTCATGGGGGAGCATCACAGCATTGCGGGGGCTTAGACACTGGCTTCTTATGATTCATGTAGATATCACATAGCGAATTGTTTCTAGCGTTTCTCGATCCGGAGTGGTACCTGTTTCATGCTTCCGATTCCTGAAGAGCTCACTCTTTCCACAATCTCAAGTCGGACCATGTCCGCGCCCCGCGTTTTGCTCAAACCAACATACATTGATCATTCTTCAATCGAAAGATGGGCATTAACAACGACAGTTTCAACTCAGCGAGACTTGGGACGATGCTGGAAGAGGTGCGAGTCTGCGAGACTTAGCGAAAATTGACTTGCGGCGAAGGCTTGTTGACGGCAGAAACTCTCACCGCCCAGTCAAGGGAGATGGTCAAAGACGGACAATAACAACCCCGTACTCCGCTCCACCTCGGACAAAGACAAAATACCACATAGCTTCAAGGGATTCAGCAGCACTGAAAATTGATATATACGTCGATGGCTCGTACAGAGCATCCTGCACCTCGAATGTACAAAGTACGTCTGATCGCCAGTACCTACCGATGCACGCGACAGTCCACGCTAGCCGTTTACGGTATAGTGGTCGGGTGATCACGGGACGGAATCCGAAACACCAACTTTTTGATATGGGCACGAAAATTCATTCATCATCATCACTATATACAATCAAATCATCTCGCATCTATGCCTCTTCCTTCATCTCGACCTCCGTCCCATCCTTCTTGTGAACAGCGGCGAGCTGCGCCTCAGCGACCTCTCCCTGCGGCAGCTGCCTGGCCATCGAAACGATCTCCCAAGGCGACGATGCGTCGCGAAAGACCTGGTTGATCAGCTCCAGGTTCCGGTTCATGGTCTCTGGGTAGAAGAAGTACACGCCAATCGGAATGCACGCGGAAAGAACGGTGTACATGACGTAGTACTTGTACCCGATCGTGTCGAGGGCCACCGGAGTCACCATCACCACCACGAAGTTCCACAGCCAGTGGTTCGCCGTCGAGAAAGCAGACATCGCAACACGAAGACGCGCAGGTGCCACTTCAGTTGTATATAGAAAGTTACCCCCGAGAAAACCGATGGGATAGAACAGGTTGAAGAGGAAAATGAAGACCGCGGACGCGATGGAGGCGCCCTTGTTGTCGGACCCCATACTGTTGGTAATTGCCATGGCCATCATGCAGCAAGCCATTCCAGTGCCGCTAACAATGAAACAGATGCGACGGCCGAGACGATCGATAGCATAGAAGGAGATGAAACAGCAAAGGAACTTCCAGGTCAGGGCGCACGAGGCCAGAATCTTGGCAAGACTCTCACTCATGCCGAGGTTCTCTTGGAAAATGGTCGAGGCGTACACGGAGATCAGGTTTCCTCCGCACATTTGCTGGAAGAACTGAAGCATCATGCATAGGGCGAACCGATAGAGCAGCTTATCCTCGTCGTTTTTGTCGAACATCTCCATGAGCGAGCCCTTGGCGTGGGAAGTCAGTTCGAGACTGGTTTGGATGCCAGCAATCTCTGCCCGGACTTCTTGTTCTGTGGCCTCGTCACCTTTCAAGGTAGCAAGACTCCGTTCCGCTTGTTCAATGCGGTTGACCTGGACAAGCCATCGAGGGGACTCGGGGAACATGAAAACGGAGAGCAAGATCATGAGTGAGGGAAGGAGCGCGATTGCCAACGGCACGCGCCATTGTGTCGTGCTTTCATCGATACGGCTCAGACCGAAGTCAATCCAATTGCAAAGGGCATAACCGAGACACATGAACATTCCATCGAGGATGACATGCTGACCGCGGTTTTTGGCCGCAGACGACTCACTCTGCCAGACCGGTACAGCAACACTGAACTGGCCGGTTCCCAGACCAAGGATGACACGGCCGACAACAAATTGAGGAATACCGTACGAGGCCACCTGCAGAACCTGGCCGATGATCGTCAAGATGGCACCGATGAAAATGGTCTTTCGGCGACCAAACCGATCCGAGAAGAACGTGGTGGAGAGGGCACCGATAAGAGCACCAATCTGGAAGGCAGCAATAACGGCACCCTTCTTGGTCGAGTTGTTGCTCTTCACGGCACCAGTGGTGTGGACGGTGTCGATATCGGGGAATGTTGATACCCAGCTGTCGAGAGTGGCGAGAGGACCCAGGCCGGCCTGGTTGTAACCAAAGACGATAAACGCCGGTGCGCCAATGAGCAACACCTGCAGGGAGTGCAGCAGCTTCCCTGTGGCGCCGAAGATGGTAGTTACCCGGTCAGACATGGTGAGAGTGACTGGAGAGGGTGAGGGCGAGAGACAGCTGGAGAAAACTCTGACGGGAGCAGAAGAGGGGGAAAGGGCTGCGGCATCTTATACAGGACCCCGTGGAGAAGGAGGGCTAGGACTTAGGAGTCTCAGTCATCCCCTCACTCTCAACAGACCCCATCTCTGCGTCCCCACAGAGCCGGTGAGACTGAGGGGAATGATGGAGAGGGCCATCGAAGAAGAATTTCTCATCACGCGGGCGAATTGTCTGGGTCCAGAGTCTCAGGCACTGTGTGAGAAACAGCGGGGTTACCGTACCAGCTCGTACCGTGGCAGCGAGGCTCCACTGTGACCGCACATTCGCTTGTCCGGTCAGCGCCTCAACTGAATCATGCTCGAGATGATAAGGTCGGAGACAAGGCATGTATCGGGGGTCGTACTCCGGCTGGTACATCCCTACATACTATGCCTTTAACGCAGCATAACACCGTAACGTCGACATCATACACTGTAGAAGCAATAGACCGCCGCACGCAGAGAATATTCTACGAGCGGCAGATCCTCGGACGAATCTGAGAATATCTCCGGTGTCAACACCGTCATCCGTGGATGTGGAATCTCTGTGTGGAACCATGGTCTGACGCTCGGCCAACCTCCGGCCTGCAGTCGCCTCGGATCGGCATTTTCAGCGCATGCCCAGATCCCGAGTCAAGGCTTGACTGTCTGTCGCCAGCTCTTGCTGGCTAAACGCTTAAAGCTTGGGCTCCTTGGCAGCTGTCTGCGAACAAGATCAGCACTGGCAGCCTGGCACAGGGCTGAGAGCGAGGACCTTGCGAGGCCTAACTACACATCAGCATCTCAATCTCTGAGCCTATCTACACCGGAGTCTGGATTGAAGCATTTAAGCATAAACAGTGGGATCCCGAGCCCTCCATCGGCAGCGACTCGGAGTGCAGCAGGCCGTCTCAAAGGATTCTTCGGTGGCAACCAGGTCAGAATTCCATTAGCAATCCCAACAGCTCATTGGTCACTCGGCCGACTTGCCCTCGGTAAAATTGCACAAGAACGGCCCATTTCTGGTCTAGTTTAGCCGTGCGAGCCGGTCGACTGCAACGTTGCAAGCCGCCTGCTCGGACTTTGGAGGCCGGTCTCGTATACTACTCCCAGACAACCTTATTTCATGATTCGTACATCATCCTGCTTCCCCGACCCGAGATATTCTCGTCGATGCGGAGATATACGAGACGATTATCGTGGGAGAGTCTGGAGAATGCGCCACGACCCCATGAATTCCCCAGATGATGTCGTAAGTGGCCAGCTCGTCTGATTCCGGGGGTGATGTATGGCCTCGTTTTGAGTCAGGGCGTCGGGGTACTCTCGGCACGCGTCGTAAGTATTACTACATAGCACGGCCGAAGACCGAGATAGGAGTAGGACGATGTGGACTGTGCTCAGCCTCTTATCCCCAACGTTTACATCTGCATATTAGCAAACGCTACTGCAATGCAACGGACCACGGGCCTTTCATACAGCTTGACGCGTCAAACCGCATGGATTCGATCCCTGTTCTCTACAACTGCTCCGAAGAGACGATGCCACTTTGTTATCAGATTTCAACTCCTCTTCGGATAATGTGCATGTCGAGAAATGCTCCGCGTGATCTGACTCCGCTGTCAAGGGGGACCCCGGACAACAGGTTCGCGTGGTCCATCTTCAGTTTTCTAGCTTGAATCCTTATTTCTGGGCATTCGGACATTGCCCGTCGTCTCGCTCAACCTCTCCAGCAACGGGCAATTCTGTTAGTAGTACAGAATCTTGCCAAGCTCACCTTGTCTTGGTTGATGACGGCTGAGTTCAATCATACGAGAATTCTAGGCACTGCTTGATTGTGATCAAGATTGCTAAGCAGTGGTGACCCAAGGCCTCAGCACGGCTTGGAAGCTTGGAGTCATCTCAGGCCTTCGCCCACGAATGTTTGGTGACCCTGGAATGTCGACTAACAGTAACAGTATCCAGTCGCTTTCAAGGCCGAATTGTGCCAGTGTTGTCTTTGGTGACCCCGTCGGCTGTTAGCGTTTCAATCTCAACCTTCTTTCTTCCTCCGGCCGTGGCCGGCATTCTCTTGCTCTATATGTACCTTATTGCGAGTGGCTCTGTCAGTGTGCACTTTGTCCAACGCGGCATTGGACCCGGTCCGGGCTTCATATCAGTCAGACGGTACATCGGCTCTCCAACGTAGGAAGCTCGACTTGTAGCAGAGCTCCATTGGGGTGAGAACTTGGTTACCTCTTCGTAGCTTCGAACATGTACTAGGGGCCTCGAACAAGATGAGGAGATGAGATGTGTAATGAGCTTAGCTATACTGGAGACAATGGAACCTGCCAACACAAGGTAATTGTTAATGATGATACATGTCCATACCATCTACAAAGCAAATTGAGGCTTTTGATTTATGTCTACCTGTCTTTATCTTCCTGTTTAATATCTTTATCACATCGGTTTCCTAGAGAAACTTTTCGAAGCGATTTGAATGGATGGTACTTTGTAGTTTGGCCGACGAATAGGGACGATAGGAGATCTTTCCTACTTGTTGGCTATTGCTCTTGCTAGTATAGGCTTCATTGCCTTCGAAATGGTCTATGAGTTCATTTAGCAACTCGCTCCTACCCAGATTTATGTCTACCTGTCTTTATCTTCCTGTTTAATATCTTTATCACATCGGTTTCTTAGAGAAACTTTTCGAAGCGATTTGAATGGATGGTACTTTGTAGTTTGGCCGACAAATGGGGACGATAGGAGATCTTTCCTACTCGTTGGCTATTGCTCTCGCTAGTATAGGCTTCATTGCCTTCGAAATGGTCTATGAGTTCATTTAGCAACTCGCTCCTATCCACGGCGTTGTGTTATTATTAGGCGATCTTGCAGCACGTTCTGCGGTATGAGACTCAGCAAAGTTCAGATATATATGTATCCAGCACTCGATGAATATCCAAATTTCATCCAATATGTCTCTGCTAACAAGATACAATAGACTTGTCACGCTCCGTACAAACAGATGCTCCAATATAGCAATTTCAAGCTTGTCATTTCAAGATTTAGATTCTCAGTGTGCTTTAGTGGTGACCGCATCTTGTCTTGTGGATAGTTGACCTCATGATCGTCACTTTCCCGGAACTAGCACGCCATCCTTGCTCAGAATCGCATTTGCTATGTAAACGACGCCTACTCAAGTTAATTAATTGGCTAATCACTGTCCCTGGACATGGATAAGGATGGATGATGAGTGTTGTTGCGCTCGGGGCAAACGCATCGTGTCACATGACTGGTCAACGAGCTGGAGCTGTCAGATATGATGCCTTTAACCTCAGGCACCAAGCTTCAGGCATCAAGCCTACTAGGCGAGGCATTCAGGCACCAAGGCAACCAGGCAGTCAGATCTTGTTTCAGGCCGGCGCCACCCGCCCTTGTTCTTTGTTCATCAACAGCTCTGAGTGCTTTGTTCTATATTTCTTTGTTGCCTTTGAGAACTGCCTTTGAGCTGTGTCTTTATCCGAAACGCAGTCCGTCCGGCCTACTCTTTTCCGTCGACCCGATTTTTGACGTCAAGCGGACAATCGCCGGTTGTCGGAGCCTCAGCTGCCGGACTGCCTATGCCCGGGTCTGGGCTGGGCCTCGATGCGAGCATTATCTTGCAGGTTGGCGTATCAACTTCGATTCTGCATACTTTGCTAGACTGGAACGGACATTACGGTGCTCTACTGTTGCAAAGCCAAGTGTCTCAGTATCTAGAGTCTTTTTGACTTCGGACGTCGAGACGAGCCTCGAGACGGAAATCGCGCAGGACAACGTAACCGTCGCTGAACAATAATGCCAGAAACAAGATGAATACTTCGGCAATGGCCAATCAGGATATCGGCATTGCATCGTGCCTGCGCTGTCCAGGCCCTGGGGCCAATTCGCCGAAGTTCGGCAGTTTGAAAGCTGGGGGATCGCTCCGATGATGTATGTTGAAACGGCGGGGAGACTCGGAACCGTGGGTCTGCGTCTATATTGTCTTGTTTTCGTGGACGGAGTAGATATGGCTCGGGGGTCGGTATATATAGAGGCTGGTATCGTTAGAAATAGCAGGGATTGCAGGTCAAATTTACTTACTACTACATAATTACTACACCATTTCATGCTTCATAGAGAATAGACAGCATGGCTCCCTCTATCAACGACTTTCCTATTAGTGACACCCCCTCCGCCTGCCGGGTCGGCATCAACGGGTTCGGACGGATAGGTACCTAGACCCTTTTCCCAAGGTGACCTTGTACTCACGATGAAATAGGCCGCAATGTCCTCCGCGTCGCGCTCGCCCGAAACGACATCCAGATCGTCGCCATCAACCACACCTGCCTCTCCGTCCAAGACCTCATCTACCTGATCCGCTACGACTCGTCCATGGGCAAGCTCTCCCCCGACATCCCCATCCACGCCCTCTCCGAAACACGAATCTCCGTCAAGGGCCAAGAAATCGCACTCACCTCGGAGCGGGACCTCAAGAAGCTGGACTGGGCGTCGCTGGGCGCAGAGTACGTGGTCGAATGCACCGGCAAGTTCACGAAGCGGGAGCAGGCGCTGGACCATATCACGTACGGGCGCGCAAAGCGGGTGGTCATCTCGGCGCCGAGCTCGGATTCCCCGACGTACGTGTACGGCGTCAACGCGGATGAGTACCGGGCGGAGGAGGAGCAGAGGGTGGTTTCGTGTGCCAGCTGTACGACCAACTGCGTGACACCGGTGCTCAAGGTGCTGCAGCGGGAGTTTGGCATTACGCAGGGGTTCCTGACGACGGTGCATGCGGCCACCAAGTCGCAGACGGTGATTGACGGGTACAGCAAGAAGAACCGACGGTTGGGTATGTGCCAGCAGTTGGAAGATTGGAGGTGTGCTAATCAGGCAACACAGGCCGAAGCGTCTTTGACAACATCATCCCAACAACGACGGGGGCGGCCAAGGCGATCGCATCGGTGCTGCCTGAACTGACTGGCAAAGTGACCGGGGCATCGATCCGCGTTCCCACGTAAGTTTCTGATTCTGATTCTGATTCTGTTTTGTCGTGAGAGGCTGAGTCTGACTGGCGTTTTCAGCCCCAATGTCTCGCTTATCGACCTGACGGTCAGCACCGAGGCGCCCACTTCGCTGGCCGAGATCTTAGCGGCGTTTAGGCGGGCGGCAAAGAATGAATTGGCAGGAGTGCTGAGTGTGAGCGATGAAGTGCTGGTGAGCAGCGACTATCTGGGAGACTCGCACAGTGCGATTGTGGACGCGGCGGCGTGCAGCGAGCTGAACCCGCAGTTTTTCAAGATCATGGCGTGGTTAGGGATGGACAAAATGGCTGACGGTAATTACGGAAAGTTGAAATTTAAGGATTTTTTCGGTAAGGAATGATTCCTGACGAAAGAATAAAA